AGACAAACATGGATTTAGCATATGAAATCTGTGCTGTCTTAGAGAAACTAAATTCCTTTCTACTACATCTCGTATGAAGCAGTGAGTCTGTTTAAGCCTCATCTGGATGCTGTTCTTGGAGTCTGCAGGTATATTTGATTTTAAGTTATGATATTACAATAGGTTAAAAATATAAAGGTATGTTAATCAACAACATCACTCACCTGGTTCAATATTTATTAGCTCGTTTATAATGGCTGTTCGTACTGATATTTGTTTTTACTTTGTTAGGATCAAAAGCCTTGAGTTTAATCAAGTTACCTGTATTTGAAATCACTTCAGCAGCATGGAGCAAGACTGGAATTTCAAAAAGATTTATGAAACATAAGATGGCCAGGTCATTCCTTTTGTGGAAGGTGACCTATATCTGTGACCATCTCAGTTGCCTGTCCTTGGGGAATGTAAGGTTTCATGACATGGAAGCCAGTTTGAGCCTCAGTGTTTTGTGTGCTCTATATATTGCATTTCCCTGGACACCAGTTCAAATTCCATGTTGCAATGAGATCTGGGCAAATACCATCACCTCCTTCTCGTGTAATACTGTAATGTGTGGGCTGCTAAGGAAGCATAACTCACGTGGGCCAGCTCCTCAGGATAGAGTAAGATTAGCTGAACTATAGAGCATAACGTCCTCACAGCTTAGACATTCATCTGCTCTTTTAGAAATGCCCTAAATCTATGTTGCCCTGCACCCACACTAGTGTTTCACAGAGATTCCCCAAAACTAATGTATGCATTTTTTTTCATAGATTCCTTAATGTGAAATGTCACATTCCTGGCAAATAAAGCACAGAGACTGCCTGTTGAAGTGTTTGCAAATAGTGTGTGAAAGATAAATTAGAGGGGAAGGTTTGTTTTTGTTGTTTTTGTTTGTTTTTTTCAGCTTGCCCCACATCTGTGTCTAAGTGGAGGAGCATTTGCAAAATTTACAGAGGGATCAGAAGCATGGCACTATATCTGAGGTTCATTTGTAGAAGGTAAAGTAGCATATGTTATGAGTCGGTTAATCTCTTCAGGGCTTTATCCAGCACAAATTAGGTTCTGTGGTCACTGAGTCACAGCAGGCTGTGGGCCGCTGTAGCCTTGGAGCTTTATTCTGATTCAGCTGCCAAGTAATGAACTGCTCTGTGGGCGCAAAAATTGGCTTAAGCTTCATGAACTCCAGCCAGGCATGCGCAGACCGAAATGCTGCTCCTCGCTTCGCACACAGCTACGTGGTTCCCTCCTCACCTACTCCCCAGCAATTCCAATGCCAAGACAGAGCCCCTGGAAAATAAATAAATAATAAAAGAAGATAAAAGAAGATAAGATAAAATAAGATAAAATAAGATAAAATAAAACAGAAAAATAAAATAAAATAAAATAAAATAAAATAAAATAAAATAAAATAAAATAAAATAAAATAAAACAAAACAAAATAAAATGAGATGCTAATTCTGTCTCATTAGAAATCTGCCAAGGTTGTGAAATGATTTTAAAAGATGCAGAAGCTCTTGATGTTTTGGCTATTTAAAACCAGCCAGGACAATTGCTGCATGCAAGGATCAGTTCTGTGTTCTGTTGGAATTGTCTTTTTTTGCTGGTCTTTTTTCCTTTTTTTACATATTTGTTCCCAGTCTCTATCTGAAAATATTGCAATGCCTCCAAAACAAAATACTTCAAAAATACAATGCCATGGGTTTCCTAAGTGGATAAAAGGGGCTGGGAAGTATAATTCTGAATGCAATTAATTTCTCAAAGAAGCTTGAAAATCTCATTCATAAATCACCTCTTGGAGGTACAGAGCAAATCACCAGGGAGTCATCGGTGCTCGTATATGGGTGTCAGGATATCTGCTCTTGCATGCAACTTTGTTCTTCCCTGTTGATTCCTTGACCTTGGTAAAAGAACATATTGTCTCTGCACTTTATATTACACATTGTAAATGAGGTTATAAATATTTGCCTGTGTCAGAGTATTAATGTTTAGATCAAATAAGAACCCTTTGCCCAGTATCTATCATCACTTTAACTCAAAAACACAGGCAAAAGGAGAAGTACCAGCCAACTCAGCAATAGACACCTTGAAGACCAGGTGCAAAATGACCATCCACAGAATGATTTAGAACTGAGAAACGTTGTTCTGATCAGGTGAAAGGTATAAGAAAATCATTTGGAATTCTCTCTCCAGCTTTATTGTGAGGTTCCAAGCATTCACTGAGGGGACCACAGGTTGCACAAGGCCACTTCCCATAAAAACACTCAAAGTCTAAAGTGCAGGACAAATATTAAAAGGGATCTTCCTTATCCAACATATAGAATCAGTCCATAGATACTTGGTGTGCTCTAGGTAACCCCGTGCTTTCATGCCTCATGATATTCTTCATGTACAAAAGCTCAGAAGAGGTTGTATCAGGAGTAAAAAGGTACCTTTGGAACATCAAAGTAGTTTGAGAGAGACTCTGAAACTAAATTTTATTTAATCCCAGTTTTGCTGGGGTTTTCTGCCTTCAGTAGGGTGTGCTGGAACAGTTAATTCACAAACAAAGAACCTTTATAAAGGTTTGTCACACGTTCAGCAAACTGAAACTCTGAGAAAACCTTGTTTCTATAATCGTATTTATGATCGAGTCCCATAAATCCAGCAGTTTAATAACTGTTTTTTCAAAGATTTCTGAATGTCAGGAAATTTGCATGTGGGAGTCTGGGCAGCAAGGTGAAACCAGATGCCTCCCAAATGCAAGTGCTTGAAGGACCGGGCTTTTCAAGAAGAGGTGATCTTCTTGTATACATTATATGCAGTGCTTCTACTTTTGCTTTAAAATGACAGTAAGTAAAAAGAGGTCTTACAACCTTTGCATTGGAGCTGGTGAACTGCAGCTCAGCCATTTGCACTGCTTCAGCAGTAGATATTATACAGCCCCAGGAATTAACACAGCTACAACAGCAGTGACACAAACATGACACAAAATTATCTACACAAAACATAAAAGAGTCTAGTAATTTATGAATGTTGCTTTTAAATCTATATTAAGCACTGTTCAGAGAAAACTCATTCACTGAGGCTAACTCACTTTGCAGTTAAATCAAATTCAGGACAGGATAAAATGCTTCTTATCAATTAATTTTTACTTTAATCTTTACAGACTTGATGGAGAAAGTAGGTATTAAATCCCAGAAGAGAATTCTGAGTATATAGAAAACCAATCAAACAAAACAAAAACAAACAAGTAAGAAAAAAAACAAGTACAGGACTGCAAGAATCAGTAGGACAAGCAGAACCTTTGGAGCAGGCTGCTAGAAAGAGTGAAGATTTAAGTACAGGACCATAATGTAAGTGGCTGGCAGGGTTGACCCGAATACTCCGTCTGGTAGTTTCCAGCAATGCTGCCAGGTATACTATTACCTCCTGGCTTCTTTCACCTACCTGGACAGTAAATAAGGTGGGACTGATGGTATAAATAGATGGAATTGGAATTTGAGGGGGAGGGAATATGAAAAATAAAACTTTACACTCACCCAGAAATATTTTCCTTTCCAGCAGAAAGTTAGAGGTTTGATAGAATTAACATTTTTGTAGAAAGTATCTATTTTTACTAGTAAGTAATTCTTGATTTTTAAGTAGAGATAAAAATCAAAACTCCCAAATCATTGGCATCTTCAGGTTCTCATTATTCAGGTATACTTAACTATGTGACGTCCAAAGCTTCTCATGAAGATATATATACACATACACACATATATATACAGAAAACACAGAAAGTAAAAAAAAAAAGTAACTCTCGTATTTACATAGCCAGGGTGAGTTTACCAAGTACCATAGAAAGATCTTGGCATATGGTAGTGCTTGCATAGGAGTCAAAATCTCCCCAAAAGCTTGGCTAGTTGCTGTCCGGTGGTGACAGGAGACTCATTTCATGGGTCTCTGCAGCGGCATCTTCAGCTGGATGTGGAGAGAGATCAGGAACCATAGGTCTGATCAGCATGATAACCAGCACCTTAAATACAAGTTGCACTAGACACATAGGTACTGATTTAGGGAATTTCTAGAATTGTCTTGGAGAGCTCCTGTAACAGTCAAATACTGGATGGTTATGGTTCATTCAGCCACTAAGTTTCAGGTTGGTCCATTGCCTCAAACCAGCGCATTGCCTCATCTCTTCAGATAACAAGCCATGAACTCCTGGGCCACCTACACCACAATTATAACCAAAGAACAAACCTGATTTTCATATTCACAATTGATGTATAACTTAAGATCCATGGCTCTTACTACATGGTGTGCTGAATCCATGCTAAGCTGGACTCCCCTATTTTTCCCTGTGTCTGCTTTACTAGAGCTTGGCTACTCCAAAGCGCTTTCATGTAGCAATGCGCCCAGTGTACTGCTCTGGGTCTTCTTTCCTTTTAAATAAGATTCGAAAAACTAAGAAAGATTATTCTGTTTTTTTTAACCTATCAGCATATAACTTTGTTCAAAGTGGGTCAGACCCATGCAAATATGTGAGGCTCAAGTCATTACAGTGGAACGAAAAGCCTGCGGGACAGAAATAGAAGTAGAAATGACTTTATATTTCTTGAGGCTTTCATAAAGGCCAAGAAGCAGAGAGAAGCACAGAATTTGAGCACCCAGATTTTTATTTTAAATCAATGTTTTAGAAATTAGGCCAAAAATCATGCTGTTCCTCTTCTGATGGGAATGACAGGTGCCTACTCAGATGAGAGCTGAAATACTCCAAGCTAGCAGGGCAGAGCCCTGGGCTTTTCTTTCTGAATACATTCTTTACTGGAGCAACAGATTTACGTTTGGTTACATCTTTTATGAATACTTTTTCAATAAATTAATCAGAAGCTTCAGGGAATTTAAGGCTTTTAAAAACAGATCACTTCTTTCACAATTCCCTTCTGAGAGTTTCAAAACTGGATTTCTTCCCATTCCATCTTTTATACTTCCATTTAGAAAAATTGAAAATTCCTGGGCCAATGAAAAGGCAGTTCTTGCCCTCTCGTCGGTCAGAATTCGACAGAGGCCTCGGAGCCACTCGCACCATCTGCAGAGTTCAATGGCTGCCCCACAAACCACCCCTGAATCACAGGGCTGTGCCAACGAGCTACGGCCACCAAAGGCCTAAGCCACGACTCCTCCTGCCCTTAAAGGTTAAGGTGAGTAACCAGCAGAGTCCATGCAGTGCCTCCTGAGGGACTATCTGTGCCAGAAGAGCTGTGTGCTTTTCCAAAGCCTGTCCTCTAAGCACTTTTTCTGGGAAGACCTGCATTTAAAAAACACTGTTTCCAGGAGTATGAAATCATGTTTTCTATCCCCACAGTACTGCTGTGGACTCTGTTTCCATAAGAGCAGTTCCTGTTCTTATGAGGGAATATCATGTGTGCAACACTCAGCTTGGGTTACTGTGCTCTACAAAGAGATATTTTAGCAGGGATAACTGCAACTCCTGCCAGAGTTGTGGAGATGATAGTGCATGGAGCTTGATCCAACCCTTCCCTAGTTAATACTGTCATCCCTTCTGCAAGGAGAAGGCCAAGGGGAAAAACAGGAAGCCTTACAATCACACACACAAAAAAACCACCTGCACATCGTCTACTGCACCATCTCAAAGGACTCTCCACAAAACAGGTGCACAAAAGGCAGATGTTTTGTGCCTTTTGGATCTTTACCATTTATACAGTAAAAAGAAAAAAAACAAGGCAAAGGACACGCAAGGGCACAGTCTTAGCTGATATAGCTTTTTACAACAAATACACAAATGTACCATTTCTAACTATCTATGTTCAGTTGCTCCCGTCTCTTTTCTTGTGGTTTCTACGATACATCTCACCATGTGCACCATTAGAGGTTGCACAAGCTATTTAAAGTTCTACTGCTAAGATACCTGACATGCACACAAAAGAGAGGTCACTATTTCTTCAGTGTGGTCTTAATTCAGACAGGTGTTTAGGTACAGACATTGCTGTAGGAAATACTGTGCAAAGGCTCAAGAATCCTCATTAATATTAACGAAAGTATAAAAGAAATTTATAGATATGTAGCCAACAGTTGTGGCAATGGAATGAATACAATAGAGTATAGGAAAATTGAAAACTGAGCCTACCAGTTCCGAGCACCATCTGGTCTCTTGGTGCTCAGACTGCCTCAAAAACTTTGCCATTTAGCTTTTTCAAGTTTGCTTTTTCTTTTGATTAATACACTTCTTTTTTTTTCTTCTAAATAACACTAGACCTCAGTAGTCTTTAGCAGGATATCTCTCAAGACTTAAAGTCAATAACAACTGAAGAGGGTAATCCCAGCAAAGGTTTTTCTTTTGGAATCCCTTGGCCAGAGGTGAACTTTGCATTTCTCAAGCATTTATACCATAAGACCAGTGTGTATGAAGTAGAGAAAGAGAAAAGGACTGCTGCGGATGTGAGTATGGCAGCAGATCTGTCTTTTTTTTCAGACTGGCAGCCCATAGATTTCTAAGGGATCTGCAATGGGTAGCTAAAAATGAAAGGCTTTTGGTAATAGGCTAGAATATGGTATACAGAGGTCTACACTTCCATGGCTGAAAAAAAATTCTGAGAATCTCATAACTGAAAGAAATTTGAGAGAGAATGAAAGAGAAGAATGGACAGAATACATGATAACATATAAAGCTGTTAATATCCAGAAGCCTTAAAGAGAAGCTAATGTCCACATATAATTCATGAAAGATGGTTTGCAACTTGAAAACTCACAAGTTAAGAAAAAAGTAGGAATAGCAACCCCTACATCCACCTGAAACTCATATTTTACTGTCACTTTGTGTCAACAGGCAATATAAAGGAATGCTACTGCTGTTAGAGGTACTATATCTGCAAATAACAGAATAACCACAGAGATGAGCAAAAATGGAATTCATCTTAAGAAAAAAAACCATGAATTTTATCTGTTGTTTGTGTGCTGGATGATTTCATTTAAAAATGAAATAAGAAAATTTTGCATACAAAATTCCAGCAATAGCAAAATTTTGTTTTTCTTTTGCTATTGTTATTTAGAATTAAATGCTTTGATTAAGGAACAGTTGAACAGCTTCAATGTTGATAAGTGATTTGATTTCACTTCTTGCTTGGAATCAGTTTGATATACCAGTAGGAGTTTTCATTATCAAGTAGAGTGATGACCAAATCCTATTTCATAATTCAGATGGCTTTACCATCTTTTATGATGCACCAGAATTAGATTATTCCGACCTTGAAACAGGGAAATCCCCTTTGTCTTGTGAGAGAAATGGTCCTTTGGAGAGTTCTAGACCATCAGAGATAGTCTCCATGGTCATCAGAGACACCTCCAGCTGCATCCTCATGGACCAAAGTGCCAAGCAAAGAAGCAGTAAACAATTTACTGAGCAGAGCAAGCTAAATCTTGTGAGACAGCTCAACCAAATAAAATTATTTCACTTGGGCTGAACCTACAGAAACATAACAAAATCAAGCAAAAAAAAAAGAATAAAATAATCCTATTACAGTTTTCTGAAACATAATTTTTAGAAACTCCAACATTTTGACATTGTAGGAGTAGCATTTTTAAATCTCAAACTAATTCCAATCAATTTTACCTGTGAATTCTGACAAAACCCAAAAACCTCAGACTGTTTCTCTTCCCAGCTTTGTTTTCATTTGTCACCAATTTTTATGCATGCAATAATTTTCTGTGCATGGCGGTGTATTTGTGTTATGCCATTAAAAGGTATTAGCAGATGCCATTTAACACAGAATTAGTTAAATACTGCTCTTTCACCTAAAAGGAAGGAACAATTGTTCTCCATTAGGGGAAAAGATGCCCAGTAGCAGTGGGAGCTGCTGCTCAAGGCAACTATGAGAGAACCTCAGCATTGCCAATTTGTGTGGGCCAGGAGGCAAAGCAGGGACTATAATATTATTCGGAAAATATGTCTTGGTGGCAGAGGTGACAAGAGCCAGCAGTGGATGAATGAAATGCTTTTGTCAGAGGTCCTGAGAGAGGGCCAGAATCAGAGCTCCTTGAGGTCCTGCATTTAAAACTATGTGCAAAAGCTGCATCTAGTGGTTTTTGCCTGGTTCAGAGAAGCATAACTTTGTGTATATTCATAGTAAATAAGGAGGACAGCACCAAAAAATATGTCCAATTCTTGTCATCAATATCTCCTCTTAATGGAAAGAACTTGGCAGGGTCCCAACTGCTAACTGCTCAGGTCAGAGGGACAACGGTATAAACGTTTGCAATAAAGGACTTCTGGGCTCCAAACACATTTTTTTAATCAAAAAGATTTGTGTAGTGATCAAAGAAATTACTCTGGCAAAAGCCATATAGTTTGTGGAGATTAAGCAAGTGATCCAGGCCCAACAGGAGAACCACCTTTAAAGCTCATTGCTGTAAATCCCACTGTTTTCAGCAGAAATTAGAAGAGCACTTACAGTCAAGATCTACAATATTTAATAGGACCATCTTGCACAAACACTTTCTGGCCAAGACAGCTATAGGCTGAAAATATATATCTGCACAAAGAAGTCAGGGAGCAGTTACGTAGCACATTTGTAAAATCTAGATAATTCTCAGCATGCTAAAACATGAAAAGAAATGCAGTTTGCTGAATAAACAACTATTTTTATTTTATTTTATTTTGCAAATCGTCAGTCTGCTTCTGATTTATGGGCAGCTAGGCACAGAACACAAAATGATCTCTGACAGATGGAGAGAGCGAACTCCTTATTGTGCAAGCATTAATCTCATCATTATTTTGCTTCTTTTTGCTCCAGCTTTCTGCTCCTCTTTGTAGGAGCATTTAAATGTAATTACACTATCTTTAAAAGTCCACCCAGATTGAGATCCATGCTGCAGTTAATTAAAATGTTTTTTTTACCAGTCGTGGTTTTCATTCTGGACATACCTTACCTACAGATAAGTGAGACTGCTGGTGACCCAGACGGCTTTAAGAGTTCCACAGGATTGGAGGAGATGCTATAACATAAAGAAAGCACATCTGGGTAAACAAGGCTCTGGCATACCTGCTTGAAATCCAGTTATTTTTCTGCAGTGTTTTTCTGCACAAAACTATCTCAATCCATTTATTGAGAAAGAAAGTCAGCACACAGATACACAAATGAAAAACTTCATAGGAAGCTCCCCTTCTGTGTTCACACACTTTCGTGTTAGCTAACATAGGTCCTCTGAACAAGCACAGCCCAATAGTAAAGCTCTCACTACCCAGCAACACTCAGCTTGGATTAATACTTGTAAAAGGACCCCAGGGACTGGGAAACCAAACACTGCAAGTGCCAATTCTTGTCACTTGAGAAAGACTCAGGAGAAATTTTCAAAACATCAAAGCTTCAGAGCCACCTGAATGCCATTGACTATGAATGGAACTCAGCCCCCTTTGAAATCTTTACTTCATGCACGCTCACTAAACAGAGAGTCTTTTCACCACGTTAGAAGGAATACATGGAAAGTGGAGAAGGGAATCAAGACATGAATCTAAATTTCTGGCACCGTAAATCATTTTTGCATTAATTGTGCTTAATAGGGTGACAGAGCCCTGGAACAGGCTGCCCAGAGAGGCTGTGGAGGCTCCTTCTCTGGAGATCTTCCAAACCCTCCTGGATGCCGCCCTGTGCCCCATGCTCTGGGTGTCCCTGCTGGAGCAGGGGGGTTGGACTAGATCATCTCTAGAGGTCCCTTCCAACCTCAACCATTCTGTGAGTAATGGTGATTGATAATAAAAGGTATTCTAGTGGGAGTGCTGCAAAGAATGCAATCACCTTCATATTTTCAATTTCTCTACAGAACAGTGTCTGTTCTTGTCATTCACTTTGCTGTTTGGCATAGAAAGTCCGTATGGTGAGAGCTGAAAGAACTACCAAGTGGAATGATTAATGCTGCTGCTGGACTTCTGGGCTGCATGTGATGCATAGTGACAGCTTTATCACAGGGAAATATAATAAAATGCTATGGCTAGTGTTATCCACGCTGTCCAATATGAACAGTACCCACTGCTGAAATATTAATGACCTTAATTAATGTTCTGCATTCATAATATCTTTCAAAATTGTTCCCTCTCAGAACTGCAAGGAACTTGTGTGATTTTCTAATTTACATGGCAGAGAGTTTTTTTTATCATCTAAGGTGTCAAAGGCAATTGCTCGGCTAG